AACTATAAAACTTCGACAGTCGTTAAAATGTTTTTTTTTAATACTAACAATAAATTTTAGTTACTTTGAATTAAGATCAATTTAATAGCATTCCGTATTTTTTTTCAATCAAATATTCATCATCAATTTAATAGCATTCCGTTGCTTTCACACGCTGTCAAATAAAATTCGGATTTTCTAGGTATTATTCCTTGACAATTTAACACAAGATTAGAAACTGAGAATTAACCCACTGAATGTAGAGGTTTGTGAAAAATAACATAACTCGAATGTTTTTATATTACTGTTTGCAAAACCGAATTGTTATAATGAGAAAATTATTACATTCAATGTACCTCAACAGTTATATAATTGGGTAAGCATTAATACTTACCCAATTATAATATAATATCGTTTATGGTACTTATTGCACAAACAGTGATTGGCGAGTGTTATAAATTGAGTATTACTGTGCACAAGCAAACGGCGCACCACATAAGTTTCCGAAATTATTTTATCCCTAGATTCAGACCAGTCTTTCCCAGTGGGCACTTTGGGCAAGTGCCCAGGGCCCGCGATCGATAGGGGGCCCCCTCAGATTCAATACAAATTCCCTAGTTCCTGTTAAATCACCAAACGGAAGTCATAGGGGCCCTATTATCCTAATATGCCCAGGGCCTTCAATAGGTCAAAGACGGCACTGCCTAGATTTACTTGTTTATTCATTTTTACCAGATTCACGCATTACGCCCCGCATGCATCCAGAGGCCAAAGCACGAATTTTAGCAGCTCGTAATGCATCGTCTAAGTTTCTATGAAAGTTAAGCAGCGCCTTTTTCGGACTAAAAACCTGGCTCCTTACAGACAAAATTTGACGGTGACAATAAGATTACAGAGCTGTCAAAATTCGTGCTTGCGCCTCCGGTGCTGCCAAGGTGGTAACGCACAAATGCTTTATTATTAGGTATAATCAAGCTTGGGCATTATCTATTGTCCTAACTAGCCAGTCGTTCAATAACAACTCTCAGTATGTAGATTTCCCACTAACTAGTGAATTCATTTTTGATTCACTTCATGGAGCATGAAAAATGAAAACCCAACGATACGATGAAATAAAGGTCACATCTGTGTCCCGTAAAAGCGTTTCGTAAATGTTTATCAATTGAGCTAGATGTAAGCGCCATCGTGTTTTTACATCCAATGAGTTGATCTGGATTCGTACATTTTGTGATCGAATTTAATATGAAGTAAGTATAGCCTGACCTAAGAAATAAAAACCAGCCAAGTGCGAGTTGTTGGACTCGCGCATCGAGGGTTCCGTACAAACCTGTAGGTATATTTTAATAATTATTAAAAATATTTTATATTATGTGATGTAACTAAAATTTTACGATTTTCGCAATTTTTCCTATATATATCTGTACTATAAGACGTGACTTCGTACCAAATTTCAAGATTCTAAGTTCACGGGAAGTACCCTGTAAGTTTTCATTCCCGTACGAGTTCGGAAAATTTGCGGCATAAACGGCTGTATCTTTTGATTGCTTGGGATTAGAAGTTTGATTTTTTTCACAAGGACAGTAGACCTGAGTATTAGATATGAATTTCAGTTCGATACCTCCACGCGTTATTGAGAAAAACGGTCTTTACAGACGGACGGACGGACAGACGGACAACAAAGTGATCCGTTTTTTACTTTTGCGGTACGGAACCCTAAAAAACCTTCCCCTGCTTCAATCTTTACGACTGCGTTACAAAGTCAAGTTGTATTAACTTTAGTTAAATATGAAGATGATTTTCTTTTGTTATGTTATTTGACAGGCAGCCTCTAACCTAAATATGGCCTTTGAAAAAATTTGGTATTATGCCAGATTAGATATTTGCAATCAAAATTTCTCAAATCATTTTTAATATTGTTTGTTTGCGTGACGGAACGAAAAAGTTAGTAGGATACGAACGTACGCGTACATACGAATATAAATAAGTTTTACAGTGTCATGATTTTATCTCTCAAGTGGCTCAGCTCGGACAGTTCGTTGACACAATGATTTCATTCGCATCCTCCTGCGGGATCGACTGCTCTATTATACGCGCGTTGAGTTCCACGAATGTACTTACAACAACAGGTCAAGTTATACAACACTGCCAAATTTCTACCAACTAACTCTTAGCTCTATATTGCTCGATATAAGATTCGTAATCGATTTAGAAAATATGAGTTTTGGTGGTTATTATATGTGTTGTCGACTGTACGACTGTGCTCACATATCCTGTGTTTATGTTCGAATCGAAGCAAATGACCAATCTGTGACACTAAAGAACTAAGATCGGAATCAAAACAATTTTGTGGTTAAGCAGGTAGGTACTCATTTTATCGACCCTGACTGAAGGCAGAGTAAACACACATACAAACACAAGTTACAAGACAAGATTTTATTATATTTCCTTTCTTTTCATTAACGTATAATGACGGCAAAATAAACGTGACATTTCTCCTACAATGTTTAATATTATTAAGTAGAATTTTCCCAAAAAATTCTTTTCGGAACGTTAAATTCCTATCATTCATGTTATAAAGTCTCGCTAAAAAGCTTTGGGGTTTTATTATATTATATTATATTATACGTAATTATACTTTGCAAGTATAATTAGAAATTATTTCATTAATTTTGTGTATACTTTTCGAAGTAAAACCTGAAGGAAACCTACCTAATTAATATCGGCACGAAGTCTCAAAGTAAGTGTAGGTTTCCATCTTGTGATGGAAGCTTGCAGCAAATTACCATTTATTTATTTTACGACATAAGTAAAGAAACCGAATACAGGGAATTCGATAGTTTCACAGGAGAACTAAGAAATAATACTCAAACGACAAGTGTGCTTTGCTTCGTTGAATACCATACCTTTTTGTTCTAGGGCTTGTATACTTGTATTATACATTTGTTATATCAAAATACAGAAAGACTACAAGCGACTTTATTTTAGAAATTTGTTACAAAGCAAAAGAGTAGAATTAAATAATAACTAGAATAGTTCGCAACTTTGCATTATTGATGTTGGCACTTGACTTTGAAAATACATTCAGCCAATGATATATTATAAACTACTTCTTGTTTATATAATATCTTTGCATTCAGCATTCTATAATGTACGTCTTAATTTCAGTTAAAAATAAAACTCAAACTATGTTAGCGAGAGTTTTCTCTAGGAATATCATTGCCATTCCAGGAATTGTTTCTTTTGAAATACAACGAAGTACCCATTAAATAGGCTAAATTGAAGTCTATACCTACTTTGAATTTCCTGCGATTTTATGATAATAGGATTGTATCGTATCTTTAACGTTATAATGTATAACAAACGAGTACCAAAATAAGATTAATTTAAATATTATTTTACACCTGTAATGAGTTCAGCATCGGCACCAACTACAAATGACGACAATGATCTTGCATGGTAGGTACTTATGTGAATATAGATAAAATATCCTTTTTCTCTACATTGATTTAGCAACATTGTTATAAGATAATTCAATAAAACCTCCATAGAAGATTACAATTTTTGTAAAAGCTGAATACTTAAATACCATAAACCAAAATTGCTATTTGATATAAGAGAAAATATTCCCATTATTTTTCATACGAATGAATTCACTCACGAACACAATATATTGCAAAACATCAATTTAGCAGTAAGTTTTGGTAATAAAGTGTTTTCGCTGGGTACTTGACTCTTTTTTGTAAATAAACCTAGTAACCCGTACCCCTTGCAACTCTGGTAACCAAACTCATTGCAGGACAGAAAGTCAAGCTGTACTTGTTGGGCTCGCGAGTTGAAACTTATAAAAATCACTAGGTCAGGTTAGTGTTGTGACGTTGAGGACACCATCGCACAGAAGGAGGCAGCGGAGAGAGTACGCGAGGAACAGGCCCTCGCGGGCTCTCTCCGCAGTCGTAGGAGGGGAAGGAGAAGACGGCGGGCGGCACGCACTAGGTGGACCGCGGTCCTCATAGTGCATGTCGGGTGACGGTGCAGGAGTATTGTCTGGTTTTTAGTGGCCCTGTTCACATCAGCGAGCTCCAGGGCTGGCTGAAGAGGACAGGGAGGAGTCCCACATACCGTCTTCTCGTTCCCCCAGTGGTTGAAGGATGCGTAAGGCATTTTCCAGACACAAAAAAAAAGGTTAGTGTTGTGACCAAAGAAAGAATGTGAATAATTGTCAATCTAACAAGGGCTTAAATAGTACAGTTCTACCCAGCGTTGCCAGACGTCCCGATTTTTAATTCCAAAATTAAATGTCCCGCGCGGGACAGGCTCAATCTCGCTTTTCGGGAATAACTCAACCGTGCATGCAGCGTACTGAGAAAGCGCGGGGCGGGTGGCACAGACAGCCAGTGTGGACTGGCCGCCTGCTCGCGCGTAATGAACATTGAAGAACTCTCAAACAAAGATTCAAGTATTTAACGATAGGGTAAATCTGATTTAAAATATCATATTTTTATTAAAATACACTTTCTATGGATATTTTTACTAGGTCCCTATCTATTGTCACGTAAACGTAATTTGAACTCAAATAAAAAGATAAATATTCAAAAAAAATTGATTATATACGTTTTTTTACTACATCCCGCTTTTGACGTAAGACGTAATCCCTCTTTTTTCATTCAAAAAGTTCCAAAATCCAGACTTGGCAAAAAAAATGGCAATCTAACAAATCTAAGGTTTGTATGCCGCGTTTCATGGTGTCGCCGACTCGAGAGGTCCCGGGTTCGAATCCCGGTGGGGCCAGATGTTTGTGTGATGAATACAAGCATTTGTACTCCATTCTAATATGTATTTACATGTTTAATATGTATTTCTATATAAATATACTTATATGTGTACAGTATTTGTATTCTATCCGTTACCCTAGCATCCCATAACACAAGCCTTACAGTGCTTACTTTGGCTAGGCTTGTGCTAGGCTAATTGGTGTGAGTGTCGGAAATATTATTATTACTATTATTATTTAAATGACTTACCGTTTGCGAAGTAGTTTCAGCGGCAGAGCGCAGCTTGGCCCGCCCAGCTCCACCGGCCTGCCGAATAGCTGCCATCAGGCTGGAATGTGCGTCGCCAGCGCCCGCCGCAGCTGCTGCAGGGGCGGCACTGGTTCTGCCAGTTGACTTATCTTCGTCACTATTACAAATCAACAAATAGTACTTTTAAAATTGATAGTTTACAGTCAATTTTAGCGGCAAAAGTGGACAACGTCAGAAATATTCGGCTAGTGTAGCGTTAAGGAGAAAAATTAATACATTTTTTTATTTATTTGTCGTTTTTCAATCAATTTAATTGCCATTCCGTAAGTCAAATTCCGTAATAATTAATTATGTATTTTTAATTATAAAATATTGACATCAAACCTTTTATATAATTCTTTCATGTTTAAGCTAATATACAACGATATTAATAAAATATAATTATCTTTTAAATATTGTTTGCCAAGTACGTTGAGTACCATACTTTTTAATCACGTTTTGTATTTTAGTTATATGATACGGCCGTTTCTCCGTTATTAACAGGGCACCTCTGTATAGTAAACAACTTTACGGATTCCAAAGAGAAAAAAATATAATTATCATTAGAACGTTCTTTGACTCTTGATTCTCCAATGTCAAATATACTTTTATACTTGAGTGTAATAGCACTTTTTTAAATATCAAATTTCCTTTTACTTACTTTAAAGCTCTTATTAAATCTTTTACCTTTAAATCAAGAACTATTAATTAATTATGTCGACTTTAAAATAACAAGACTGCTTTTATCTACGAACACTAGAACCGGGAAGTCGTATAAAAGAACTTTATCATAACATAACATTCTGCAACTTACGTGATGTTATATATACTAAGAAAACCATTATGTTTAACGTAAGTCAAAAGGATTTCATTTTTTGTTTTTCATTAATTACCAAAAGTGCAATTTTCGTGTTTACGACATTTGTTATCGGGAACGTCGATACGATTGATGCTTTAACAGGTAATGAAACAATAACATAATGCATGTGGTTCGAGCCGCTAAATTCAAATTAACATCTGACCTTTGAGCATAATATTGATTCAGTGGCCACCCCACATGGCCACCAATTACGTATGCAGACACCATAATTAGCCCCACAAGAGTGCGCTACGCTAGAAACGCCCACGTACCGGATTGCTATCGTTTTCCTCGTTTGAACAATCGCACGACCAACATGTAAAGGAAGCACAGAAGCAAGGCTGCATACTGCTGTGCGCGTGTGTGTGAGCACTCGTGGTCAGTCGCCGCCAATAGAAACGTTTCTCTGCGTACGCGACAGGGCGCCAGTGCTCATCACACAGGTGCAATTTTTTGAAACTTTGTCTCTGTGCCTTCCATAGGCTGGGCGCATATGAACGGTTTCCTGATCAGGAATTCTGATTCGGAATTCCGTGAGTCTAGTGCAGAAGTTTCGTTTTTTTTTATTATTAGGTAGTGTAGTGTCCGACCGCACCTTAGGTTTTTTTCCATTCTGCAAAAAATAAGAATAGTGTGCTCCTCGTTGAAAATTTTGTATGTAGGACGTGCATTAGGCATGCGTCCGATATATCAAAACGAATCCAAAATCCGATTTCAAACACAAATCGATACCGAACGATTTCTCAACAAGAAAATCCGATTTCAGAAATCTAACCGAACCAAAACGCTAGGCGATCTGATACCACCACAAGTATCCAAATGTAAATCGGATTCGAAATTCGTGCTTTCGTTTTCGGAAGTCCGATTTCGTGCTCGGAAGTCCGATTTCGGTTTGCTGTTTACGGAAATCTATTGTTCTTCTCTAAGGCGGGATTATTTATTTCTGAAAAAAGATGTCTTCTAAAAACATCGAAAGTCGAGCAACTGTCATTTTTTTGAACGCTAACCTGATGTAATTAGGTTTGATTTTGTAAATGGTTTGAAAAATAATAAAAAAAAAACAGAAAAACAGAAAAACAAAAAAAAAATATGTAAAAAGAAATCATTGTATATAAGCCGATTTTTAAATGCGCCGCAAAAGTTTTACTCTTAACCGTAAAGATAACTTTTCTGCTAGTCCTAAGCCACAGAATATATACTCTTGCCTAAGCCTAGATTTAAAGCATAAAGGAAAATCACGAAAACTATGAGTATCCTTGCTTCGTACAATTAATTGTTTGTGATTGGTTTTATTAGCTAATAAAACCAAATCATAACACAAACTAGTGAATTGGCTAAGTTCGGCACATCTGAAATCGGATATCTAAAAAAGGATTTTAAAATCGATTTTGAAATCTGAAATCCGATAAATATCCGTTTGCGTTCAAAACCAAAAACGCCCATGTCTAACGTGCATTTAGGAATTCGGGATTCCTGATCAACAAACCGTACATATGCACCCTGCCTTACTTAAGTGATTAGTGAGTTCAAAAGTGTACATTCATAACACTTAATTATCTTTATTCTCCTTCGCCAGGGTAACTCACCAGCCAATCAATCATTACCAAATTTGGCTTGCGTTATACTACACGGGTCGAAGTAACAATTGGAATTTCGCAGAAAACGGACCTTTAGGGATGGGCTCCAACTCGAATTCCATGTGGGCGAAGTTCGATTCTCAAAAGTAAACGGAAAAAAAAGTTGTTTTGAAGATACCACTGGTGTTTGCTTTAACTGGCAATGTGAGCAGCTGTTGCTTTTCTATAGTTTCACCTAACCATCTAACTTTAAATATTGTTTACTCTTCTTCAATTTGTATTCTTATCAAGGAAAAGCTTAAGATAAATATAAGCTACAGAGTTTGAAAGATCATCATAAATTATTACAGAACTTAAAGACCTTTTAATTTTATAACACAAAATATCACTTGATTGTCTATATAGTAATTTTGTAATTATGGTCTCTTACCATCAGGCGGGCTATATGCTTGTATGCCACCCTGTTAACATAAAACTTAAATGAAAAAAATGTGTATCAACTGTTTATTAAGTCCAGAATGCAAAAAAAAACATCCATAAAGGTGGGAGTAACGTGTTCCTCGAGCGCTAATAAAACAAACCGTCAAAAGATATAAAATCAATGCGAAGTTTATGTTAAGCGAGCCTTTCCGAGAAAGCGCGCTAAGTGCGACTGTTGAGAAATGGCGTTGTTTCTTTTCTCTTTAAACCAGCTTTGTAAATCGACAGCCTTGGCCGGCCAACTCAACTGTTGCGTATGGTGCGACTACGTTTTGCCTATATCACCACAGACCATTTGCCTATTTAATCCTATAATATTTATAAATGCAAAAGGAACCACGGAACGGATTTGAATGAAATTTGGTACGCATATTATTTATGACCTGGATTGAAATATAGGATACTTCATATCACGGAAAAGTGTTAGGTTCCTGAGGGACATTCACAAAAGGAAAGTGGCTGCCTCTTGTATAATAGTAATCATTTATTTGCCAAAATATGGTTACAATTAGGGTTACCAACTTTTTTTCTATCAAATATAGTATTTTCAAAGCTGTCACCTCTAAAAATATAGTAGATAGCAAAATACCGAAAAAAATTAGTACGAGGTTGAAATATTTACTTTATTTTAAAAATGAGTATATTTTTGCTGCTCTATAGCTAACACAATTCAGTTTTTATTTTTAAGAAAGCTGTTACTGGCGAAAGTCTGCTTTAAGCAAAATATAGTAGATATTCGCCTACTATATATATTTTTTTAGAAATATAGTATTTGATCCCCTAATATAGTAGGATACTATATTATATAGTAGGGTTGGCAACCCTAGTTACAATAGATGTAAAGACAACATTGTAAGCAGATTTTGAAAATTAACTAATAAAGTCGGTTACTTAAGCATTTAACTTCTAGATAAAATATCAAATCTGAAGTTGAATTATCCCAAACACTTTTCGTCCAACATTTATAAAAAGGATTAAAACGAGAAAAGGATCTGTTATCGTTTTCCGATTTCTTAAGATGAAGACTAAATCAATATGCAACCACCACTCAATTGCCAGTGTACGAAAACTCTTGAAGAAAGGTATTACTTAAAAGTAGCCCTTAATTAACAGAGAAGGGAAAACAATACGCTTTCGTCTTTTCCTCTACTAAAGCGCTATCAATGAATGTATTTATGTGAAACCTTGTAGTAAAGGCTGTAAATATTTACATTTATCTGTCTATCTCTTCTTGGAAGTGGATTAGTGAGGGGCGTAAAAAAATAGCGGCTCGCGATACTTGGTGCCACTGTTTGAGGTCACAGATACTGTCTTGGCCATTCATGAATTCAAAAATCGATTCGAAGAACAATATCGTCATAATGTATTACCTATATGATAATGAATACTATTATGGCAATAATGGTGTTGTTACAAAGATTTATCGATCAATTCCACATTTATAAGTACAAAAATTTCAAGTCAAATTATTCAGTTTGCAAATTGTTGGCTTTTTGTCAATTTACTATTCAGTTATAATTTACAAAACTCTGAACTATGCGATAGAAATTTGGGCAGTTATATCAGCGGTCAAATATTAAGATTCCGCACATCAATAGGTAAAAACCTTAAACCAAAAAGGGATTAAAACAAAAAGGGAGGATACTCGCGGCTCAAAAGTAATCCGTTTAAATTGTGGTGCATGACCACAATTAGCTTTAGTCGCAATTTGACATTCAAACACGCTGCATGTGCACTCAATATAACAATATTCCGTATATTCTGTCTTATAAAGATAAAACAATGCCTTCGATGCTTTTATAAAGAACACAAATTCAAGTTTCAAATTTTTCAAGTTTAAAATCAAATAACAAATGCCTCGGCAACACTTTTCATTCGTAAAACTGTAAAAACATTTTTTTCTCAAAAATCACGGTTTGTCGTGAATGTTATTTACGTAATCGCCATTTGTTATCAAGCAAAGGACAACTATATAACTCAGCCGTACGGACCCATAAGCGAACTCGCCGTTTCGCTCGCGCTGCGTTGAAGCGTACAGTTCTGTCTCGCTCGCTCGGTTGAATGTTTATATACAGACGTGTGCGTGTGAGAATTATTTATGTAGTTGAGTCGAATCATATTTTATTAAGTGCTACGATGAGCTTACCGTATCTTCCCTTTCGTTTTAATCAAAGGCAA